GGATTGGCAATAGATGTTAGCTCAGAGCCGGTCTTCCTCAGCAAAAAGAGGAGGATTGGCATGGATGTTAGCTCAGGGCTGATCTCCCTCACAAAAAAAAAAAAAAAAAAAAGAAGCAACGCTTGCAGTAGAAATTGATGAACAGTCAGGATAACACCTGGCTCTGTTTGTAGCCTCTGCCCCTTTCCTCCAAATCTCTTTTCTCTGAGATGCAGCCCCTCACTTATGGTATGCCCCTCACAGGGCAGATCTTCCTCACAAAAAATTAAAAAAAACAACAAAAAAACGTTCCTGGAATACTTCCCATAGACATAGATGCATAGAGATTTACATCATTTGATTAAACGACTGGATAGTTCCCCAGTGTATGGATCTACCATAGTTATTTAATTGGTCTCTTAATGGTAGATGGCCAAATTGTTTCCACGCTTTTGTTAGTTCTAACATTCTAATTAAATTCCTATTATACATAGGCCTTCAGCTCTTTAGATTTACATAGATCATTTGGGCAAAAAGTGCATTTTTGTATCAGAATTATCTGGATTGATTTTCTTTCATTGTTTCAACTATATTATAAATCGTTTGTAGGTGGAGACTAGGTTTTTAGTTTCTTGTATTGCCTCAGATTTATTACACTGCTTTTCATATAGGCCAAAAAACTGGATTTAAAATATCAGCAACCAAATCTGTTCTATGTTTTACATAGGTTGGACTGCGGCCACATGATGTTGTCATGTTAACACTGGTTATCACTGCTGAAGGTTTTTCTTATCACTGCTGAAGGTTTTTCCTTTTATGACATATATGCCAGGATTTGAGATCTTCCTAATGCTCACTCTACCTCAGCTCTGTTAAAAAAAGACACTGAGGGTACCCCAGAAGCTCACATAGTCCTATAATACATAACCATGTGGCATATTGTTTATGTACAGGTGCCTAGAGACTTCATAGCAGTTCAAACCACTGGAGTATCATGATTATAAAAGAAACAATCATCCAGATAGTCAATTCAGGACTACACAAAGTTCTGTTTTAGTTAAGTCAAAATTTACTAGGCTCTACACTGAAAATATGGTGGGATATAACATTTTACCTCCAAAGTTTTAGAGAAATGAAAGAACAAAAGGTTTTAAATGGGTCTTACATCATTGCTTACAAATATTCTCCCAACTAAATATAGGAAATGAGATCATTGACTTCAGGAATGTCTCACTGGAGAAGTAGAGCTCCAATCTTGTCCCATCTCTAAACTTGAAGTTTAGTTCTTTAAGGCACTAATATCTTAAAGATATTGGTAGGACCTCAGTTTGCAGCTCTATTGCCATGTTGTGTGCAGGATGATGCTCCTGTGGTCTGAGGACTGTTTGACCTTCAATATGAAATAAGCTGAGTACCAGTGGAGAGTTCACCAGTCAAGTAAACACCCCCTGAAGACAAAGAGTTGATTATGCCTCTGAATTTACAATCAAGACCTGCATTGGGAGGGCCCTAACTTTATTGAATCCCTTGACCTCTTATGATATAAAACAAGGGATTACATTTAGAATTGACAACATTTTATTAGTTGAATTATAGGAATACTCTTTGTTCCAACAATCTCTTTCTTGCCTCAGACTATATTTTCACAGGACTGAAATGCTTCTCACTACTTTTTTCCTGGTTAATTCTTATTCACTTTTCAGATTTTAATTTACTTATATCCTCAGAGAGTCCTTTTCTGTTCCCCAGTTAAAATCAGATCTTTCTGTTAGACTTTGACAACACCTTATACTGTATCATAGCATTTGTCACAAATAAATTAAATTGTATGATTACTTATTTACTATGTATCATCTCTAATAGATTATAATCTTCAGGAGGCCAGTGTTTTCACTGTATACCCAACAACTGGCACAGTGCCTGGCAAATGCTATGTACTTAACAAATATTTGTTGAATGAATAAAACATAAAATTCCCCTTCCCCTCCAAAACAGTAAATGACTCACCAGTGATATGGATGTCATTATTTTTAGTAGACACATTGGCAGTTTGGGGAACTTCTGAAAATGCTCTGGTTGAGCTGATGACGACATCACCTAGGGATATAAGGGGGATATCTGAACTGATCCGAATAGCTATCTCAACCTGAGGAAGTGGTGTAAAATCATGAATGGATTTCACTTGCTATTAGGAAGAACTCAATTTGAATGGCCTAAATGCTCCTAAAATATTATGTGTAAAGTTTACTAAGGACCAATTTACTGCAAGGCTAGGATCCTAGGATCTAACAGTTACCAAAGGAGTGAAAATTCCTATTGGTTTAAAGAACAAAAGCGAAACTGTATAGCACACACAACAAAACAATATCTGCTAAAGAATCTCCATGAGAAATTTAAGCGGTTTGGGGAAAATGTCTTACGTTGCAGTCATGGAAAGATGAGGCCTATCCCTATTCTCCCAGGGTATCAGAGGTCCAGTAAATCAAAATACTGATTCTTCCCACTCTAATGTGTTTGATAAGGTCAATAAAAATTCCTTTGCAACATTCGAGTAGACAAGTCCATGTTGACTAATCATTCCATTTTCCAATGGAAAATTAAAACTTAAAATGCATTTTAATGGGTTTAATTCATCAAAAAATGCTATTATGTAGATTTAATTTTGAAATAAAATAGAGAAAAATCTAAGACTTGGTCTCTGACTATCTTCTTTGACTGACTGGGAAGAGTTTCGGTTCCATTCATTGTCATTTTCATCATCAAGATACACTTTGAAACACCTATTTGAGATTGGCTTCTTATCAGTTCTTGCTTTTCCACTTCTGCCCCCCAAAAGCAGATCGTTACCTTCCCCAGTGCTATGTCTCCCCAAAGTACTCACCATGAAGTGTTGAGCCTTCCCCTAAGGGGGATGAAGTGTACATTTCACTGGGCATCCAGGAAGCTGCTAAAGGAAGAAGATATTGGAAGAGTCAATCTATACAAGAGTAGTTATTTTTTTGTCTCTTCTTGACCTTTAATTTAATCTAATAATTATGTAAAAAGGGTATTAATGAATACTTGAAGCAAGATCATTGAACTATTCTGCAGCATCCATTAGAATGTCCCAGAATAAAGTGGGAGTTGAGGGAATGCTTGTGGTCCAGATGTCTCTAATAGGGAAGGTTTTGATCATAACCACTTAGAAGCAGGAAGAAGGAATGGAAACAAAACACTAGGAGAGGTTCTTCCAGCCACAGAGAATGTGTTGTGACTATTCTCATGTCCATCCCATAGATGAGCTACAAAGAATGGGAGAGAATGAAAGCCCAGGTGCATTACGGCGGCCTTTAGCCAAGGAAAGGTGCAATAGGACTTTGAAGACTTTAGTAGAACATGCACAAGGAAACAAAATTGTACTTGTAGGTAAGCTGACATTCTTGTTAGAAAGTGAAAACCAAACTGGGTCAACAGTGAATTATTAGACCTCTATGGTCACAGGTCTTGTTAGCTGCTGGGTGACTCCTTTTGATGATTCAGTGGCAAACCTTCCCTTTGAGTAGATAGCAGCAAACTCAGGCAGCACATATGGCTTTTGAAATAGATCTATCAACTCATTTTGGTTAGTTCCCATCTCTGGCAAGAAAGATTCACTTCTTGGCAGTCTCCACATACCTATATTTGATAACAGGCCTATAACGTGACGTAAAGTAGAATTGCTATAGCAGTACATGGCCGCAATCAGTAGAGAGACATTACGATCGTTTATTTAAAACATAAAAATACATGATTTTCCCAGTTAAGTGTTTTCTTGTGTGTCAGGACCAAAACAAACAAGCAAAGCCAAAATAAAACAAAACAAACATTAAAAAAACCCTTAGCTAGCTCTCCCCTTTCTTGGTTTCCCCCTAGATGCCAACTACAGTTACAGCTGCAGACAAAGGAATGTTCTTAGGCCCTTCAGACGAGATGTAAGTCAATGCTTTCTAGGGATTGCTCACAGGACAGTCTATCATAGCTCCACCTGGGGTCACCTCAGAGGTAAGGGTGGTTTTGTACACAGCCATTTTGACTTTGACAAGATCAGGGAGATGTTCTTACTGTCAATATAAACCTCTAATCCTACATAAGTATCATGACTATTTGTTTGTTAAAGACTGATTACCATGGTCTATAGATGATGATGGACTGAGCATTTTTTTTAATGCCCACTTTTTTTTTTTTTTTGCTGAGGAAGACTGGCTCTGAGTTAACATCTATTGCCATTCCTCCTCCTCTTTTTCCCCAAAGCTCCAGTAGATAGTTGTATGTCATAGTTGTACATCCTTCTAGTTGCTGTATGTGGGACGTAGCCTCAGCATGACCGGAGAAGTGGTGCGTCGGTGCATGCCCGGGATCCGAACCCGGGCCTCCAGTAGCAGAGCATGCACACTTAACCGCTAAGACACGGGGCCGGCCCTAATGCCCACTTTTAATGGTTAAGCTATTAAGCCAGGAATTTCGTTGACAAAGAGCAAGAACTAATTAAAAGAAATTGAGACCGGCCCTGGCTTTAGGTAAAATTATGAAGAAGGCAGTTTGTTCTGGATAACTTTACAATTTTTTTTGCCCAGTATGGTGTGTCCTTCCTTCTTTTAGGGCTTGATGCCTTTATTTCTTATCTCTTCAAAATCTGCTTGAAAGAAAGGATATGATAAATTAATTTATGCTAAAATATAAATGGTTGAACAAGTAGAGGTGGGTATTTTTTTTTGAGAACGATTTTCTATTTCATGTTTATTATCAGCAAGTCAATACAGAATATTTTGTAATGATCAGTTACATGTGGACATCAACAGTTTTTTCACCGAATACAGAGAGCCTGTCTTTTCTGGTCAATTTTCATTGTCCCCAAACAAAATAACTAAACATAACACAATTTCAGGAGATGGTGATACCATCAGTATGATCAATCCAAATTATAAAAATGGCAATACTTAAATCATGCAAATTATTTGACCATTTCATAATACTTCTTTTTACACTTGAAAAGTAGGAATTTTTCAAGTGTAAAAAAACTCCCCAAAAAATCTGTGATAAAATTAAACTACAGTGATTGGTGTGAAGATGGCAGTGTAGGCAGACTCTGAACTCACCTCCTCCCACAGACACAACAGATCTACAACTACTCTTGGAAAAATTACTCCTGAGAGAGAATCAAAAACTGGATAAGAGGAACCCCTGCAACATGCAACAGTCCTGACTGAGGTGGAAGAGGCAGAAACTCCCTTCTGGAGAGAAAAATTCCACCTTCGCAAGCCACAGTGCTTCCTGGCTGCCAGAGAGTAACCCAAAGGTATGCAGCCTTTCCTGGAGGAATGGGGAACCTGAGCTGGGGATTGTTGCCACTATAAGCATTTTTTGGACCCAGCACCACCGAGACAAGTGTCATAATATCTGCCTTTGTTGACTACTAACAACAGGAAATAACCCCAGAAAAACTATCAGACATAAGGAAAGAAAAAAGCCAGCTTTTAATGGGCCCATGTACAAATTCACCCATTTCAGAAAGCAACCTAAAATCACCAAAAAGAAAGGTGCACAGTCCTTTGGTGAAAAGAGATTCATCTGATGGGCCCTGGTTGCATCTTGGAGAGAGGCGAGACCTCTCCAGGGACTGAGACATTGGCAGCAGCCATTGTTGTGACCTGGTGCAAGAGTGCTGACACAGTCACTGGCAGATGCCATTGGAGTTCTTCCCATGGTTTTTCTGCCCAGGATCTGCCCCACCCACTAGAGCGCTGATTTAATCCGGCTCATCCAGGGCAAGCAGCCCGCCCTAGGGACTGGCCCCACCCAACAACAAGCCCTCAGGCAACTTGTGGGCCTGCATAGGCTAGGTGGCTGGATTCTCTGCAGCTGGGCAAGTGGGTCCACCTCTGCAGGGCAGGGCATACATGAGGAGCGGGTGGAGTGTGTTGGGCATTGGTGGAATGTGTGGGGCCTATGCTGTGGGGTGACTGGGTCCACTTCAGGGGGGCAGGGCACAGGCATGGGGCAGGAATGTGTCGACGATGGTGTGTGTAGCCCTGGGGGAGTGGGGCTTGTCAGCTGCAGAAGACTTGTGCTTCTCAAACAGCCACATAGGATATCGGCCCCACCTTCCAAAGCCTGAAACAATTAGGTGCTCCCCTGTCTGGGGCCAGCCCCACTCAGCTGCAATCCTGAGAGAGCTGACAAGAGGTATAGGTTGGAGGCCTACAGCAATTGTAAGCCCCTGAGCCTAACAACCAGCAACACTGGGGACCTACTCACTTAACAGAGAAACTGCAGCAGGAATACTCTATTAGACCATGCAGCCAACTGTGCTGGAGCTCTCCACACCCAATAAAGAGACTAAAGGGTCCATAACAGCCACACACAGCAGAGCATTACAACCAGTTGGCCAGGGGGACAGCTCAGTCTCCCTGGGCATTTACAGCAAGAGCAACCCTGCCACGACAAAATGGCACATGTAGCCCACACAGGGGTCGCTCCCAGAACATTTGGAACTGGTGACGAGATGGAAGCACATTGCTGGGCCTCATAAGGTATCTTACATAAGGCCACTTCTCCAAGATTGGGAGATGTAGCTGACCTCCTTAATACATAGATACAAGCACATAGAAAGAGGCAAAATGAGGAGGCAAAGGAATACATTCCAAGTAAGGGAACAGGACAAAACCCCATAAAAAGAACTAAATGAAACTGAAATGAGCAATCTACCTGACAAAGAGTTCAAACAAAAAGTCATAAGGATGCTCACTGATCTTGGGAGAAGAATGGATGAGCTCAGTGAGAACCTCAACAAAGAAATGGAAAATATAAAAAAGGACCAATCATAAATGAAGAATACAATACTGGAAATGACAAATTCATTCAAGGGACTCAAAAGCAGAGTAGAGGACACAGAAGAACGGATCAGCAAGCTGGACAAAAGACTAGAGGAAATCACCCAAGCTGAACAGATAAAAGAAAAGAGAATTAAAAAGACTGAGGACAGTCTAAGGGACCTCTGGGACAACATCAAGTGCACTAACATCCGTCCTATAGGTGTCGCAGAAGGAGGATAGAGAGAGAAAGGGGCAGAGAATCTATTTGAAGCAATAATAGCTGAAAACTTTCCTAACTTAAGGAAGGAAATAGACACCCAGGTACCAGAAGCACAGAAAGCATCAAAAAGACAAATCTGAAGAGGCCCACACCATGACACATCAAAATTAAAACATCCAGAATTAAAGATAAAGAGAGAATCCTAAAAGCCACAAGAGAAAGGCCAAGTTACATACAAAGGAAACCCCATAATGCTATCAGCTGACTTCTCACCAGAAACCTTACAGGCTAGAAGAGAATGGCACAATATATTTAAAGTGTTAAAAGGAAAAAAGCTACAGCCAAGAATACTCTCCCTGGCAAGGTTATCATTCAGAATGGAAGGAGAGAGGAAGAATTTCCTAGACAAGCAAAAATTAAAGGAGTTTACCACCAAGAAACCAGTCCTACAAGAAATGTTAAAAGGACTAATTTAAGGGGGAAACAGAAAACTACAAATAGGAAAAAGTTATCTATCCATGATAAGAGGGTAATGGATACAAGCACACAAAAAGGAGGATAGATATGATATCAAAAACATAAAATGTGGGAGGAGGGGAGTAAAAGAGTAGAGCTTTTAGGAAGAGGTAAAACTAAAGAGACCATCAACTTAATATAGATTGCTATATACCTAGGTTATTATATATGAACCTCATGGTAATCACAAACCGGAAACCTATAATAAATATGCAAAAAACTAAGAGAAAGGAACCCAAACATAGTACTAAAGAAAACCACCAAACCACAAGGGAAGAGAACAAGAGAAGAAGAAAGGAACAGAGAAGAGCTAGTAAAACACCCAGAAAAATAGTAACAAAATAGCAATCAATACATACTTCTCAATAGCTCCTTCAAATG